TCGGGACGCCCGTTTTGCCTTCCGCCGCCCTTCTTCCAGTATATTGGTCTTCGTTACGTGGAAGGCGGCCCAACTAACGAGGAGCGTTACTGCGGGAGTGTCTTGGGGATGGACCCCGAAGTTGACATTATGACCGACGCGGGTTTTCGCGAATCTGTTGATGGCATTCCAAATGGCTGCGTTAAGATTGCTGAGTACTGCATGGCTCAGTTCAAGGCTCATGCTAGAGTTGAACCCAAACGCGCATTGGATTTTGCCTGTGGAGCTGGTCGGGTATCCTTTGAATTGTCTGCTCTTTTTTCCCAAGTGGTTGGTTCCGACTTCACGGCCCGCTACCTTATCCCGGCCTATGCGATGCTGGAACGTGGCAAATGTACCTATAGCACTTTGGAATCTTCTTCGCTCCAGCGTGTGGCAAAGATGGCTGAAGCTTCAAATTATTCCTGGGACTCCAATCGTAAACGCGTCACCTTTTTTCAGTCTGACCCCACAAACCTTCACAGTCACATGAAAGATTTTTCTTTGATTGTGTGCTGGAATGCCCTGGAGAGAAGCTCAGCCCCTGCCGCTATCCCGTTGCATATGCTGAGTCGACTGGAAGAGGGTGGTCTCCTTGTCATTGAATGTCAATATGAGTGGGTTGAAGGAGGCCCATCGGCGAGGGAAAATCCGGGTGAGACTTCGTTGCCTCATAATGGATTTGCAGAGGAAGAAATATATAATCTTCTCGGAGCTGAATCTGCCGTCGAGCGTGTCGGGGAGCCCTTTGAGGTGGTGGTCGCGTTCCCAGAGTCTGACAGTGTGGTGAAGCTAAAAAAGATACATTTGACCACGTACCTGAAAAAGAAAAGCAATTAAATCCAATCGTCTGAACCCTATATATATATATATATATTAATAATAGTGGTGTTTTCATTAGGAGCTTGTGAAAAGAATGATCGTGGGAGAGCTGGCTAACTTAATTAATTTATGTATATCCTGATAAATGAATGCATTCTTTATGATACTTTCTACCGTATGAATCTTTTGGGAAGAACGAGACTTTGTAAGGGTTAGGGAACCGATAGAGGCCAGATAATTTTTTGTTTTTGCCATCCCACCCACCCCCTTGATTCCCACCACGCGGCGGGGTCTTGTGGTTGGTGGACCCCAAAGTCTGCCACTTCGTAAGTAATAATATTCAAATTCTAACTGAGGACAAGGGACCATGCTAGTGATCCACAGAATTCTATATATTGAATGGAAAGAAAGCATTGAAGCAATTAAATAACGAACCTTTTTTCTTGACTTGTTTGGTTTAAATAGATTGCCAGGATCCGGCCAGCTGCCCGGAAGATTATTCACAATTTGTTTTTTTTGTTTGTCTTTAGCATATATTTACGGTGGCAAAAATTGTGGATATGGAGGAATATTTGCACCGCTCATCTTGGTGGGATGTGTGTGACGCATTTTTTTTTTTTTTTTTTTTTTTGATCCTGATGGGTCAAAGAGAGTGTTAATTATTTTTTATGATATTAAGCGCGAGGACGAGCGAAGAAAAAAAAAGTCAGCACCATCCGTGTCAGTGTAAGAAGAGAAGAACTTATCGTTCTCCTCAATCTCCCCCCTCCCCCCAAGAAAAAAAAAAAAAAGAAATAAAATAAAGGAAAACAACAAACAAACAAACAAACAAAAGGGGGGAAATATTTAGCGAAATGTTCTGTTTGATTTTTTTTGCGTGTGACCAACAGTAATTACCATCTGTTGCGATTCCTGCCCTGGCCAAAATAGGCGCACCAGAAGAGGGGGAAAAAAAAATAATGAATTTGCTGAGATTTATAGGCCAGAAAACAGGAAAACAAACAGAGGAGGGGAAAAAAAAAGGGAGATGTTTCATTGGCCTTACCGGCAAGAGACATTTTTTTCTTGCCTTAGCATTTTCTGTGTTTTGGAATGAAAACGACGACAACAAGATCCTTGTGGAAAAATAAAGGGGGGAAAAACGCCCAAAAGAAAGGCGGTGACCGTTCATTATCCTTTTTATATTCCGTGCTTGTGGGCAATTAGACGTGCGCCCATGGTTGATGCGACGATGTTTTCCCTTCCTTTTCTTTTCTATTTTCCGTATTCTTGTGTTTGACAGCTTCACTACTTTTTTCTCTTTTTTTTTTTTGTGTGTGTGCGTGTGTTTCCCGCATACAACGAGAAAGAAGGGCAATGCGGCGAGGGCTGTGCTCCGCCACAATGGTGGGCAGAGCTTTGGTCAGCTTTGGATCCTGCTTTAACTCACGGTGGCATGGCTCGGTTGGGGATGGCGGCGCAGGGAGAGGCGTGCTTAGTGCAGTAGAGATGACTCCACCACCGCCGCGTCCCGCCTTTTATGTGCCGCCGGAGGAGCGCGATGCGGATGATGCTTCTCTGCAGTTTCTCCATCGAAAGAAACATTCAGCGGATGGCAGATGTGAAGCGAAGGAGGCTGGGGCTGCTGTTGGTAGTGGCAAGGGCGGTGAGACGCGTCTGCATCCGGGGCAGGCCTTTGCTCCAGAGCTACAAATTCGTCCCTCTCGTGCGCGCCACTACTTGGATGATAAAGCGGCCGGTTTGGCCTCAACGAGTGTCTACGCGGGGCATCATTTTCTTCCCGAGGAGCCTGAGAATTCAACAAGACCACTCCGAGTTATCAAGAACGCGACACCAGAGTCAAAATTATCGAAAGGGACACCAGAGGTGCATTTTATTCGGGCGAGCCGCGGAGAATCCATCTTTGGGGTTAGAGATACGTTTGAGGGTGATGAAAAGTGTAAAAAAGATTACGTCAGGGGAGAGAGCAGTGGCGATAGTGGTGGAAATTCTGCACCGCGAAAGAGGCCACTGTTGCGGGAAATGGAATTGGATCTTCGTCGTCTTGAGTACTATCAAGGAACACCGCAATATCAAGAACTTTTAGAGGAATTTCGCGCCAAGTACGAATCCAGTGAAAAGAATAATATTAGTGGCGATAGTAATAGTAGTATTAGTAGTAGTAGCGGTATTAGTGGTAGTGATGGAGGTCCGATTGGGGGTGAAGCGATGGAGCGGTCGTATAGCCAGGCGGAGGTAAAACAAGGACTCGAAGCACAACCCATAGATTATCTTCGCGTCAGCAAACAGCTTAAGGTGGAGCTCAGTAGTGGCCCCAGGGCTTACGACCCCGTCACTGTGATGCAGAAACTGGGTGTAATGCGTTTTCAAGGTTATGCCTTCCCTCCTACGACGGAATTGGGAAAGCTGCGGGATAGCGAGGGGAGGGAGCTGCAATCGAATGTGGAGAATCATGCACTTCGAGATTATATGTGCCAAAATGTTTCCTCTACTATCAAAGCGCAGCTTGCCGGAAACCAAGACAAGCACCTTCTTTATCGAACGCTGGGAATAGATGCTGTGCAACGGAGACAAGTAAGGGCTATGCTTAGCGATTTTGATTACGCTGACCGTCAGACGGCGTTTCATGTTATGATGTCGTACCCATACACGGACTGGATACATGTTTTTTATGTTGTTTTAGTAGGTTTGGCACTTTATGAGTTGCAGGCGCGCTGTGGGGCGTATGAGTTTTACGATGAATATTTGGGATTGGATTTACGGCAGGTGCCCAGACTAAAGAAGCCTTTTTTGGTGGGAGTAACTGTTATGGTGATGGTAGTGGCTCTGTTTCATCCTCTGCTTGTGGCGAGTATCGCAACCACGCGGTTTTACCGCATTTTTATGAGGCGGCCTATTGGTCCTCCATAAATATTCTTTACTCTCGACTCGAATCTAACTGGTGGCTTTACAAAAACATCCAACTCTTGTCATTGTCGGTGGTGAAGGTACAAAGCAACATTGCTGTTTGTGCTTCCTTCTCTCTCTTTTTTTCTCTGTTCCCCGTCCTACTTCCATAGCTGGTCCGGCAAGCAGGGGAAGAAATTTGCCAAGCGTCTTTTCTTTTTTGAGGGGGTGGGAGGGCGGGGCAAACGCCTTCAGCTGTTTGAGCTAAAAACCTCTTTTCCTAACAGAGGATAACAACAAGAACAAAATAAATACGCGCGGTAATCAAGATGTCGATGCGGCGAGATCTGCTGATTGCCAGAAGGCTCGAGTCGGACACAGTCTCAACTTCCTTTCGTTCTCTCTCAAGGCAAGGCGAGAAGCGATTTCCGGGCTCTGGGCCGGCCACCAGTCAGTCAACAACTGGCGCTGAGGCAATACAAGTGGCAGTGCGTGTGCGGCCACCAAATTGCAGCGAGGCCTCCCAGGAGCTGGCTGTTACAATGGATCCATCCCGTAGTATGGTCTTTCTCAATGACAGGCTAGATGGACAGCGGATGTTCTCTGTCGACATGCCGATCTGGTCTTGCGTTGGAAGGGCACTGGATGACTCTGCCCCAGTGACACAATCTGCCTTGTACAAGCGGGTGGGAAGGCCTCTGCTTGCTCACGCAATTGCTGGCTTTAACAGTACGTTGATTGCGTACGGCCAGACAGGGAGCGGAAAAACATACACTATGATGGGTGAGGTTGGCTCAAACGTCATGGATGACAACGAGGATGTTCTCAATAAAAGCGAAGAAGGCATTATTCCTCGACTCTGTCGGGATATGTTTCAGGAGATTCAAAGACGCTCGGTCAAGTCCGCATCAGGAGAGAGCTTCAGCTGGGAAGTACAAGTCTCCTTTGTGGAAGTGTATTGTGAGAAGATCAGTGATCTTTTGAACCGCAACACGCCCGTTTCCCTTCGAGAGGAGGTAGTTGGGAATGAAACATTTTTTGCGCTTACCGGAGTGCGCCGTGTGCCGGTTTCAAACACAGAAGATATTTTACGGGCCTTGAAGATTGGGAATGGGTGTAGGAAAAAGGCTTCCACATCCATGAATGAGCGCAGCAGTCGAAGTCATGCAATCTTCATTGTGGAGCTTACGGAGATTATATCTATTGCTGACTCAGAAGGTGAAGTGGCAAGTGCGCCAAGAAGGAGTTTGGCCATACGTCTCGTTGATTTGGCTGGAAGCGAGCGCATTGGCGAGTCCGGCGTCTCTGGCCAAAGATTCAAGGAAGGTGTGGATATCAATTTGTCTCTGTTTACCCTCGGTTTGGTGATTGAGTCTCTCTCGGACCCCAGGCGGCGCAACATTAAGCCGCCGTACCGTGAGAGTACGCTGACCAAGATACTGAAGGAGGCCTTGGAGGCAACAGCAAGACGACGATGATATGCACCGTAGCTCCATCGCAGA